ATGCTATCATTGACAGAAAAAAATGTACATTTCACTATTGAAATAAACGCAACATTCAGTGATACTTACTCCGTGAAACGAACATTCACATCCAAACCAGTTTGAAGACTAGGAAACAAATTCAAGGCATCAGATACCGTGGTTTCGTAATTGAGCAGTTGACCTTTATCCAAACCCTGTTAATTCCGATAGTATCAGAAATTAACGTATTTCAGTTTACCTTCAGGGACTTTGACAGTAATACATCGGTCAGTGTGGTGATCAAACGTTCCCCTGTCACGACTTCTGTGTTTTGAGGCAACGAGATGACATTTTGCAACAATAGGACATTGGAAATGGCAATTAATGGGCATGGCCCATTTTCGTTTTGTGTGATTATGGACGTCGTTCTACCGCGAAACCGAATCCATTTAACGTGGTAAATATATTCGTTAGGCGATGAGGATTGCGAACAAACTGGATGGGTTCTTACTGGCGATTGTCTCTCTACTTTCAACGTCTCAGGCTTGGCTTCTGATCCATCCGAATAAGTTTCAACATTTGGTTGAGTGTCTGGAGGTGGATCTTGGTATTCTGCTTTATCATCTACACTTTTCTTAGTCTCGATTGGGTCCACTTGGTCCACAGTATCATTAGAACCTGATGAACTCGAAGGTTCCTGTTTTTCAGTACAAGAAGCATCGGAAGATGCCGAAACCGTGGGGCAGCGATCACCAATCACACCACTCTCCGATGGCAATCCATCCACCACGGGTGAGGAGGTAGGACTACTCATCCATAAGCTCGTCGTTATTTCAATGCGTCACTCAACTGCGATTTTTATTGGCAACTGAAAGAAATTATCAGCACAATGAAATAGAACGCAATATTTATAAACGACTGCAATTAAGGTGGGAAACGAAAATAAAAACGCAAGTGCAGTACAGAACACTGCTCATTGAGTTTTAGCTACTAGGACCACACTAACATCAAGTAAGCTGGATTTCCCCTCCCAGTTCGATTGATTAATCTGTTACTGTTTATTGTGCATAACTTATTTATTCTTATTCAAGGCTGCTTTCTCGATAGAGACCACTAGTGTAGAGTATGGAACGGTTTGATTTTGAACTCTCTGGATTTATATTACAGATAATGTGAATTACAGTAAAAGGAGAAATCCCGTCGATCAAAAAGCATACTGCAAAAGAGAGTATGGGAACATGCAAGCAAGATCCAGCTTATTGATTTTGTTTCATGAATAAAAGATTGTGGGTTGAGGGAAGAATAGTGAGTGGGAGGGTGTGTCATAACTTGGCAGTTCATAGGTGGGAGGGAACTATGATATCTAGTAACTGATTTCTGATAAGGAATATTATCTGCTTGTGTGCGGGATGGGAGGACAGAAGTAACAGTAAGAGGAACTATCCAGGTGATCTCAGAAGAAAAACCAAGTAGTAGCTATGAAGAAGGAACATTAAAGCAATTGCCCGACGATGAGCTAGTGGTTGCAGTTGCTAGGTTAGGGAAGTATGACTGATCGGTCGGGTGGCCTTACTTTGAACACGGTTAAGAAAGAAAGAGTAGGAGACAAAATCCCACCCCACGAATAGTGCGATAGGAAAGAAAGCAGCGAACCATAGCGATGAGACTGCACCTTGACGTGATGTGATGGCTTGCGCGCCACCATGACCCTCAGTTCAGTTCAGTTTGAACAACCATTAACCATGCACTTTCGTGCACCGGTTTTGGTTGCTGTCTTTTGGCTACCGATTTGGATGAACAGTAGGAGAAAGACAGGAAAGTCGAAAATAGAGGCGAACAGAAAATTGAGAACTCTAGTAAAATATGGCTGCAAAGAAATTGAGATGCACGAACGCCACTGTTTATGACACTCAGCCATGTCACTGTGTCTATAACTGAACAGAAACTCACACCGGTGCTTCGGTCACGTTTCGGCGTTGGATCTACGCCTCACTGTCTTGTGGGTCAGACTTTTGAGCCAAAGGCTCCGGTCAGGGTTACCAAAGAAAACCCCTTCGTCGCTGTGGGCTGTGCGAAATGTCGTGCCCTAAAGTCTCAGATACTCACCTGGAAAATCCTCTTTCTCAGCTGATAGGCCACGTTAACTTTCACGGATGGGGACCTTGGGATCATCGCAACCGGTGGTCAAAGACACTGAGTTATTTATTTATTTTCACACACGTGTGAATCCAGACTGTGTGCCAAACAAATCATGGTACAATAATCTTAATGAAAAAGAAAGACGTTCCACGATTTACATGTCGGCGGAATACTGCCAGGTTTCCCAGACCAAATTAGGGAGACACTGAGTGATATTTCTGAGTGTCACAAATATTGGCACAGGTGCATCTACTCATTATTCTTACAACGTTCGTGCATGCGAATTATCTATCTTTTCTTTGACTTTGCTCGCAACATTCCATTTTTACTTCTGCTCTTTTACTTAAACGGTTACTCGTGAGACATCAACTAAAACCGGCGTACGAAAGTGCATGGTTAATGGTTGTAAAAAATGAAAAACTGGAGCAGCAAAGGGTGGCGTCATCGGCAAGAAAATGCAATGGGTTAACAATTTTTTGA